ATCAGTCAAAGTGAAGTGCTGCTCCGTTGCCGATTTGTTACCGGGATGTTTTTTTTCGACTGAAAAAAGCTGAGATTGCGGTGATTGGTGGTGGCGACTGTGGTGGCGATATTTTCAGCCTCTCTGGTGTGGTTTTTCTAGCCAGGCTGGTTGAGTTGGAAGCATTTCAACCACTCTTAGTTTTTTCACCTTTTTTTCTTTGTTACCATAGTGATCAACCTGCCGCCTTGTTTGTACAACGTCACCGTTTCACTTCATTTTTCTTCCTCTGTAGCCAACTGACTCATCCCTGTGTCAGGACGGCAATACTGTGAATATTTTGGCCGGTGCTCTGTTGGACTACTTTCTGGACTGGATCCGGAATTTAGGATCGTAAAAAGTCACCCTATTCCTTAAGGGGATTTTGTCCCGTGTCTTCTAAATGATGCAAAGACTGAGGCGTCTTATATATTAAATTACGAAGTTTATTTTTGGATTTGAATGACACGTTTCCATTTGGATTAATCATTCACCTTGAGTCCGTGCTTCCCGATTTCATCAGAAGCGAAGTTGTGCGTTGAAGTGACTGTATTGGGTTTGGGAACAAACGCTTGACTTGGATCACTTTATTAATCGGAATTTAGGTAATGCGAATAGATTTCGGGCATGGCGTAGCGCTCCAAGTCTTCCTTGAAGCCGAAAGAAGGCATGATACTTGAGCAGAATATGTACTGCCGACGTACGGAAGTGTTAGGGGACTACTGGCATGACTCAAAGGTCACGCAGCTCAGTGGAAGCACGAAAGTGGAGTCTTAAGTATCCGGCAAACTAAAACGAGGAGTTAAATAAGTAATCAAAGTATTACAAGAACTGACAGTAGCCGATTGTCATACCTTTGTGAAGAAAGTCTACGTGCATAAACTACCCGAAATATAGTTGGTGCCATTTTTATGATTTGATGGCGTCTCATTAAGACGCATTTTAAAATTACATTTGTTTTCACACAGGGACGATTCTTTCATTTTCCTATTATGTGTACCGTTACGAAGCTTGTTCTCAACTAGAGAATACCTATCTATGGTTTGTGTAATATCTACTACTATACTTTTGTAAGTGACTATTTCAACATTGTAGCTGGACCAAATGCTGAAGATAATCGAGGTACTGGGAATGCTCCCGTCTTATCTCATCGAGAAGAGTCGAAGGTGGCCAATGTTCTTCGAACGCGAACCCAATGGCAACTTTGTACCCAACTACCAGGCTTCAATGAAGGACAACGTCAAAGTGGGTTTGTAGAATAATTGCTACTCATATCTTATTCAGTAACTCGTTACTTAGTTACCAGAGCTCGTGTACCTAATATTGCTGAAACCGCAGTCCTTTCCCCTTATTTCGTCACATGCGGGAAATTGCTTTCTTTTTTTGGTCTCCTGGGCGTTAGGGATCTCAAAATGTCCACTTTTTTATTGGGTATGTGTACTGTGCTCTATGCAACTTGTAACGTAACGGGGTGTGGCGTTGGAGACAAGGAAATTGTATTCTCCACGGTGAATTTGTTTGACTGATTGGCTGTTGAGGGCCAGATTTTTTGGTTCATTTGGAATTGTTCAATGGTGTTTCTTTGCTTCACTTTTTACAGAGTCGGTGGTACCCTATCAGAGCCAAAAAATCCAGTATACCGCCCATATCTTCCTCACTATCAATAATGTCACTTTTCAGTAGCAGGCGTCTCTGGTTGAACGCCGTGTACTGAAAGCTACGTGTTCTCTAAAGAAAATTCACGAGTATGCACCAAACCATTCTCTCTGAATTGCGGCTGAGCCTTGATCTAAGACGCAATTTATAGATCTCCCCAAAGTAATATTTTGTTGATTTAGGGGATTGATTTTACTACCGAAATATGTGGTCTTACAGCCAACTCCATGCGTTAATGCCTTACTTTGTAATATCTTTTTTGGGCGAATTTTTATCGTTTGCACTAATACAAATATGCTCCTTGAATTTCTCCGTCGACTCGTTCTATTCTGGTGCCTTCGTTGATAGAGATGTGAAAAATATTTAATCATTGAAGTTAAATATATATTGACGAATTCTGATCAGTCAAACTAGCGTTTCATGAAAGCCTTTTTGAATGTCTTTGCCGTCTTTCTACTTCTTCGATGCAAGTTATCGTTCAGTAAAATCTGTTTGATGAGATAGTTCTACCAAATCAAAATCTCACCTTTTCATTTTTTTCAAATCAGGCGATTCGACTTTTTGGTGATATTTCCATCCCATAATAAAAGGTCACTTTCTCATTTTGCTGACTTAATAGATTAAACGCATTTGCGGTTATTTTACACCGTATAAAATGGGCCTCGTGCATAAGAATTATTGCTTATCAAGTCTAATCTTCAAGGAGTACATGTGGATTCAAACTCATTCAATCCGCCTAGCGTTCCGGAAAGCCCAACAATTCTACTGGAAACGTCAATATTTTACTTTTGGAAAAATGTAATTTCCTGATCTGTTATAAACTGAATGCTCGATGTTTGCATTGTCGCACTTACTCTTTGGTGGTTGGTTTAAAGAAATCTGAATCCATGAATAGCTATTTTTACTTCTACGACGATAGACAGGTATTGTAATATTACTCAAATATTTGTCGATTAAATGAGTTGAATGTGTATTCCTTTTCTCCTGCTCCTTTACAATCAGTTGTTTTGGATGCTTAAACGTAATTTGAGCAAGTGTAAACCTGTGGTGAAGATGGATCAGTCGAGGCACAGGTGCTACCAAAATATTTTTCAGAACAGTTCCTCAAGTATTCTCAAGTTCGATTCTCTGCAGCAGTTTATTTGGGTTCACTTTTTTCAAGTCCTGGTAGACAGAGTGACTTCAGCGTCCACTTTTAGCTTGTTCAAATCCGACTCATGTCGGTATCTGAAAGTCACTCTGGGTAAGAAAAAATATTCCAACTGCACAGCAGTGGCTATTAAAGATGGTCTAAGGTGCTCAAGTTCTAATGTAGTGTCAATGTCTCTACCACTACTGCTACAGATAAACTACAAGCCGCCGGGCGCGCGAAAGCTGAGTGACATCCTGGGTGTCAACAGCGGGGGTCCCATGGGTCGACGACTTCAGGAGCCAGGTCACTCGCCGCAGGACTACGCTATTTTCATGGACCTTGTACTGCATATGCTCATTTACGACCCCGATAAGCGAATTCGCCCCTCCGAGGCTCTGGCACACCGATTTTTTTGCCGCACCGCGCCCCAACCCACCAGCCGGGCGATCGCACTGAGTGTTCATCACGCCCGGCAGCACTCCGGCCAACCCCAAACCATTTTGGCCAATCCGGACGGTGAGTTTGGTGCCTGCACAACTAGATACAAGTTTTGATTGACCCTGGTTCAATTCATGCTATCGAAATTGACGGAATCGGAATAGAATCGTGGTTGAGATGGCTTCAGCAGAAAGGTGCATCACTCCAGTTATGGATCCTAAGCTCTTATTTCCAATCTCGGATTTCCACTTTTGGAACCTGTTTTAGGCTGTCGTTAGTCTGTGGAATTCTTCTTTGAAAGTGGAGTAGATTTTGGTGGGTTTATTTTTGTGAATGAAGTGGCTGGAATGGATTAGTCTCCCAAATTTTATTCTAGATCTCTTTTCACACCAGCAGCTGCCCCGCTATTGAGTCTTGTCAGTGTCAAAGTCAACGAAAACTTTATTTTTATGGTTTTGATTTTTACTAGGGTAAATTATGTCCCAAATCAAAATCGCTTCTGTTTTTCCTCTCTTGTGTGTTAATGCTTGAAATTGTCATAAATACCTGAACTCTGGGTTTCTAAACTACAAGAACTATTAAACAATTTCGGACAAAAGAATCACTTATTTGATTTCCCCTTTATTGATTTATTTTCACCAGTTTTATCACACATTTCTTTAAGAATTTTCAATCAAAACGTTTGATACCCATGAAAGCTAGAGAAAAGCGTCTCATTGGTTGTATTCCTCCAAATTCCGCTCTTCTGTTCGGTTGAGTCCGGTTAAATGCTCTACTTTATTGTACGTGCCTGAGGTTTTTCTGATCGCAATAGTATCTTGAGAATGTATAATCAGGTCGTTGTTCACTTGCCGAAGAAATTATTGCATATTTTCTCCTTCACTCTGACATGAAACAGTTGAACTAGTTTTTGCTTCTTGGTACTTTTGAATCACACCCATCCACTCTACCTTATCTGACATTGTTGAAATCAGTGAATGATTGACTGATTTGATTTCTGTTCATTGTGATTGTCTATTTAGTCCGAATTTAAAATTGAAATCTCTGATATCGTTGAATCGTACTTGCTGCCTTGTGATCATGACCTGTGGGAAAATTACAACACGCACTTTGGAGGTACTTCTTCGGAGAACCCTTCGCGCTCCAACAACTTTTTTTCAGCAAAAAATACACTACTTTGGGAGGAATGGAATGGAACGCAATTAATACTCTGTTACAGCAAAACTATTTTGGCTCGTTTTCCATCACACTAGCACTCCACATCTCCCGAATAATAAGCTTAAAACATGTGAAAATCACAGTTTGATCGGCGACGAGACTACCTACTGAATTCATGCCTACCCCCGCCCTCAAGCTGTCAGGGAGCAGTGCAGTTAAACATTCCCTTGTCATTTTGATCTTTCTAGCACTTTATTATTGAATACGCACTTTGACTCCTAATGACAGTTTTCAAAACTGTGGAAACCACTGGGAATAAATTGGAACCAGCAATGTCATTTAATCATTCCTATTACTATTTTAGCATGACTTGGAATTTCAATGCGCGAAATTCGAACGGGCTTCATAAAAACCTTTTATGGCATAGCTGATACCTTCAGTGGGAGGAAATTTATAAAAATAATGTTTTCAGATTGGACCGCTACCACGCAGTGCCTAAATGACAAGATCAGGACCCATGATCCAATCATAGTTCACTTACCGAAGAATCCCCTACTGAACTTTACCTTTAGTCTGACAGGAGGCAGACAAATTAACTCCCTTGCTTTTATTAAACTACTCACTACTTCTTGATGAAGCTTTGAATCGAGAAAAACAAAATGGTAAACAATCAGAATCGCTGTTCAAAGTTGACAACATAGCGCAGTCTCCGAAAAAGTGGCATGGGGTGTGCATACCCAACGCCTGCGGATGTGTGTGTATGCTGCATTTTTGTGCAAATTCTGCCGCCTCCACCACCACCGCCCCCTCTGCCCGGGCGCTGCTGTAGCGCAGTCTTGGGTAAGTGGGCGGCCTAGCAAGCCAGCCAGCCATCCGTCCGCCGCACATCGATTGTCCGCGTTGCGTCGTGTCTCGTCGCTCGTCTTTGTATATCCGAATGACGTCAATGGAAAGGCGCGATGAGGCGGGCGGGCGGCGAGGCGAGGTGTGTGCGCACGCCCATGCGCGTGCAAGTGCCGTTTTACGACACCCTACTACACTAACGCAGCCTTCTCTTTCCTCCGCTCATCTCTCTCCTGCTATTAATTCATCGGCCATAATTCCTCTTCCTCCGACTCTACTCCCTCCCCCTTCGTCCTCCCTCACATCTCTGTGCCCTCCTGTTGGGATGTAAAGCTTTGAAGTTTTCCATCACACATTTCGGTGTATCAGCTTCCGAGCTAATTTTGTCAATCATATTGGCTTATTCGGGCTTAGCTTCTAGTTAAATCGTACTTACAAATTTATAGCCGTTATCTTGACCATATCTGCTGCATTTTTTGCTTATGTCAACTAAAAAACGAGGTTGTATTTTTGTTTCCTGTCCCGATAAACAATCCTTTCTAATCTTGTAGCATTTTTAAAACCCAATATCTTCTCGTTATTACCACTTACCATATTCCCTAGTTATCTTGACTCAAAGATTGGGGATTTTGCCTTTGCTCGGATACTCGGATCTCCAACTGCCTTATTCGACAGTTTAGGCGTTAAAAATCTAGGGATCTTAGTCTACCATTATTCTTGTTCATATTCTTCGATATGTTGACCGGAAATGCATTTTTAAGTGCTTTCAGTGTGCAATCCTCCATATATTTATGCATTGTTCGCAAACTACTTTATCTTGCCAGTTATGCAAAATTGTGATCAATTTTCTGTGTTTAAAGAACCATTTCATTCTGTTTCCTGCTTGAATACTTTATCTCCTTGCTCATTGTTTGTATCGACAGGAAGAGGTTGGGGATTCATTGAATGTTTAATTTTTGCAGTAATGGGGCTCTTGTAAGCTGAAATCATTAACTAATTTGTTGTTAAAAGTAGCAAATGGTGTGTTTTACAGATTGCATTTCACTTTGTGCTGGTTAGGCCTTTTTTAGTTTCCGTTACCCTTTATCCCCCCCCCCACCCCGATTTCTTTTTTATCGTATTGGCAAATTTCCCCCGAAAACGCTTCCCATTCAAGTGGTCTGATGTTTCACGCACCTGATTCCGACTTCGGCCGTCTTTGCACCGCCATTTGGCGCCCCGTAAGCGTATTCTGTTGACTCGTCTACTTGAATTTTTCATTGAATATGTTTGCATGTACGGGGTGATTTCAAGACTAGAATAAGACTTCGGTTTACAAAATAAGCCTTTATATTTCCGATTCCTTTTCAAACTGATTAGAATGCCGCGTATGTTGTCTTAGGAGGCGAAAGATTCAGATTCGGCTTCTCCTTTGCGTAGGTTTGATACTTTAAAACAAAATGTGTAATTTTGATGAAATTATCCGTTCTTAACATCCTTACATTAAAGTTATAGGATTCAAATAAATTAGGCTATTTTTAGAAGTCATTAAAGTCTTCAAAGAAATGCGATGGTGTAATATACTTTCCAACAACGCCTCAAAAAAGGCTTTTGAAATCAGAAGTTAATTAGGTTGGATTTTAGGCGGTGAATTTTGTTTGATTCTCGTCAATTTCAACCTGCCCTCAACTACCGTATTTCTTATGCAATCATCGTCACCTCGACATTCGGTCAAACACTAAGACGCAAAATCTGGAAATATTTCTTACATTTTTTGAAATAATTCAACAGATATTAAAATGCGACCGCCGAATAGTGTCGATATCTGTTCGTTTGCGGTAAGTCACGAACCTCTGGGAAACTCGAGGTTGTTTTTTCCGGAGTCTAGCGGCACCTTAAGCTCCGACTTTTTATGCAAATGTCCTTGAGTTAGCTGATGTTTTTTCGCCTTCCTTTTTAATTCACTGAGCTCATTGAACCTCTGAAATATTTAGTATTTTCGTGCTCTCATTCTTTGCTTCTAATCGATTCCTTCTTTTTCTTCAGTGTTTAATCTTCCTATTATTAATGGAAAAAAAGTATTACTTCGTGAGCAAGTGATGCCTATCATCTGACTGAGATATTTTGCTCTGCAATTTTGCAAGTTGCCTACTTGCCAAAGGGTGTAGGATTTTATGCACTCGTGTAAGTCAACGTGCTGCAACCAAATTGACCTCGATTTCTAAGCATTTTTTTTCGAAGAACTAGGAAAAAATCACTTTTATGATGTTGTGGAGTTTTCCCGACTACCCATTGGGATAAATTTTATTCTCCTTGACTGATTTCACGTGCGGTAGAGGCGGTGACATGTGCTTGAATGGGTGTTTTGCTGTTTACGTGGCTTTCAGAATTGTCATGTTATGATATTTTCTTCAGACTTTGTGTCCTCTCATCACATAAACCAAGTCATTTAGATTTAAAATGCATTTTTTTCCCAGAATTCCGATTTCTTTACGAATTTTTGAAGAATAAATAGGCATCAATTGTTCCTACATGCTCGAAGTTGTATTGTAAGAACCTCTTCGTATATGTCTAATTTACATGCATAAAATAACTGGCCCTTCTCGTCATTGCATCTTTGAAACCCTTGAAGGTAAAACCTATACAGGTAATTGTGCATCGAATCTTAATTAATCTTAATCTTAATTTCGTACCAGTTTTCCTTAGTTTTGTGGGGAAATCTCAGACGCTGAGTTTGTATCCCTTTTCTTTGTCCGAATTCCATCCCTCTTACGACGTTATAAGCCACGTCAGTCTTGAATTAGCTTTTGTTACCAAAGCAGCGTGAGCACAGCACTGTACCACCAGCATGCAAACTGAATCGAGGGCGACTGGGAGGGCCTGCACGATCAAACCTGACTTTGGTGTACATTCCTCACCATGTTTTGGTTGTCTTCCTCGGTTTTAGCCGTCACAACTCTTCTAATAGCCTCTTCCTAGATACTAGTTTTACCTTCTGCCTTGCAGCACTCTTTTACCAGCGACACAGCGGCACCGTCGGTAATAATTGGATGGGCAAACAGACCACGGGACTGGTGGCTGTTCCGCAGTCGGGTCAACCGGCTGGTGACTTCTTTATCGACCTCCCACCTCAGGCGCAACAGCTGCCGCCCTCGTCCATTACCTTCCATCCGGGCACGGGAGCTCCAATTTCACCCTACGATGCACCCGCACCCCTGCTTCGACGCTACTCCATGCGCAACGCCGCCGCAGCCGCCGCGGCTGCTGCTGAGATCGCAATGGGGCTCTCACCTCAACCGCAACCTCCGCCGCCTCCGCCATCTTCCCTGTGGCGCTGAATGCCTTGACGGTGACTGGGATAGCAAAGGCCTTCTACCTCCTTCTTCCCCCTAGCCATGTACAGACACCACTGCCGCACTGCAAGAAACATGCAAACGCCAGCCCTCTCTTTTTTCTCTTTTCCTTTTTTTCTGTGATAGTTGAACGCACAAGCTGCCAATACGGCTCTCCCTTCTCTCTCGGCCTCTCAAAGATTGCGTTTTCTCTCCCCTTGAACCATACTCGAATTATGTGATTATACATATATATAAGTATATATAAATACGCATATGTGTACTGGAGTTGGATTTCCTTACTCCGTGTTTTTCTAACTAACTCTGGCTGCTTATAAGTCTAGAAGTTGCCATTATGAATGAAAAGAATGGCTGGTACACCAGACGTATACGTGAAACTATGACAGATTCTTCACCTGAGATGGAAAGCTCTTCAATTAAGTTATTGCCGTGCGGAGCTCGAGCTACTCAAAATACACCACGAGGGACATGAGGATTAAAGGGCATCATTAGACTTCAACACCGCTGTCGTAAAGACCAAATCCCAGGCGAACAGATGGGGAAATGTAACTGGGCCCATCAACTCATTATTCAGTATTTCTCTTTTTTTTAGGTCTTTTGGATGATCAATTGTCTTTCTTATAGGTCATTGTCATAAACTGAACAGCCAAAACAGTGGAATTTTGCCTGTTAACATTGGGTTGCACTCGTGAGATAGGTAACTTCCCAAATCTCATTCTCATGGTTTTTTTGGCGTGTCCGGAATGAGGGATAGGTTAGGTAGCGCTTAGCCCTATACGACTCCCTTTCTAGGTGAACCTTAGCATCAACCTGTTTTCAGTCCCTTTAACGTCAGCGGACTGGCGTTCCTTTTTAGTCCTGGATCAGTGCTTATTTTAACCAGGATGTCATTTCAAAGGCAAAATATTTGAGAAAATTCTGTGTGAGGGTAATTAGGAGTAGTTAGTAATCAAAAGTTCTGTGAGGTATTGTGCGTAGCTGTTGTGATTTTTGGTGCTTGTCCCAAAGGTTTGACCACCAAGGGCAAAACTTTTCTTATTATTGAGAACTTGAAGTTACGGGGATTTTCTGCTCCAAAAGCCAGGAGATAGAGGTATTTGCTGCTTTAAAATGGGTAGACAGAAAGGTTCGACTATTATTTTCTAAGTAAGAGCGTTATATTTAAAGAAATGTGGATTTAAGGTTCGAATTAATTATTCATACTAGGCCACACCGTTAAACAAAGAGAGTTTAATGTTATTTTTAAAAAATGCTATATTATTCTTTAAATTGATAGATATTTGAAAGTTGGTCATTCCGGAAGATGCTTATAAAAATAAGTAGTTAGCTTCCTGGAAGCACGTCAAATAAATGAGAGTTTAATTGGCGAAATTGGTTTTAGTCTTAAATTTATGGCGCCATATTTCCATCCAAACATCTAGGAGTCTGTAAATAAGCTTCACCGTCCCGATGCAGGAGACGAGGAAGGCTGGAGGCACAAACGCCACGATTAAAGATACCCACTGGTGATGATGCAACATCCGCATCGTCAGTGAAGTGTAGTTATTTTTTCTCACTTATTGGTGCGTCAACATAAAGATTGAGAGTGTCTTGCTTAAAATTCCAGTAGACTGCTAACACGAGGTTGCGACAAGGCTCTAATTTTGCATTTAACGTCCCCGGCCAACCTTGAAGTTGATGACAAAACCGCCTCCTCCCACCGACATCCACTGCAAAGTGATCGGAGATGACCACAGCGACGCAAGGTAATTACTAACTAGCTTTTTGAAAAATGCACTAAATTTTCTCATCAAGGTTGGTTGGGGATTTGAGTGGATTGAAAACGACCAATCTAGGCTTTCCATTTGTTGATGCGATTTGGAGATCTTTTAAATTTACAAACGCCAAACTGCGTGAAAATAAAAATAACCAAAATTAGAGCAAATAACACAAATAAAAAGGGTCCACACTGCAGTGATCAGAAAGCACTTTAAACTTGCTTTTTTTTTAATGTAGATGGCTTCGAAGTGTTTCGATTATGGTGCAACCTCCAGCCGATTGTTTGACTTTCACAAACCTCTTCATGGGAGAAGAACATTGTCTTTTAAATAAAGTTCCACCTGTGTTTTCTTGTGATACTTTTTGACCACTTTTCATCTCCAGTTTTGCAGTCGGAAGCATCAATAGTTCTGTTCTTGAGTGGCTGAGGTCTGAGAAGCTAGTGTTTGCAATCAGCCGACCGCCGCATAGCATCCCATGGACTCAAACAGATCATTCACTTGAATTTTTTAACTTATCAGCCAGTTTCAGTTGCACTAAGAATTGTATTTTGCCGAAATTGAAGATGAAATTTGTTTGGAATTTCGGATTACATTCCCAGCATTTCGACACATTTCGTAAAGTCTAATCGGCTTGTGTATTTTACCTGTTTATCGCCCAAGGTGGGTGTTTTCTGAAATAATCCAAGCATTGAAATGCGTATCATTTTATAAATCAAATTTGAAGATTTTAATAGTGTTAAAAATATTAACCCCTTTAATAATGTACCACTTGCACCGCGTACCATACATTTTGCCGGTAGCTGTGCTGCTGCTTCAAAAATGCTTTTTTGAAATCGCTTTAGCTAATCGGGAGAGCCAGCCATGACCTTGAGCACCTTTAATAGGAAATTTAGCTTCCATGCCTATGACAAAAGCAGTGGAACATCACGATGACAATTTTTTTCCACTCCGTCATTTCCCCACTGACTTGAGCATATGTGCTATATGCCGCCCTAAACAAAAGTACCAGAAGCACTTTCTTTCCGATGGGGATGCTCTCCAGTTGCGAGTGCTTTCGTGGGCGTACCGTAAAAAATTGTTTTCCTTATTTGCCCTCTCGGGAAACCTAGTCGGCTGTTTTGCCACCTTAGAGGTAAAGCTGTCTTAGTATTTTGCTTCTGTAAATGCATTGTCACCTTTTGTTGACTTATTTATTTTTCTCACTGTTGTGAGAACGAGTCCTATTCGCCATGCAATTTGTAAATGGAGGTGACTTGTTGCTTATCGAGAGACTTCCTTAACTGTCAAAAATAGAGCACGATAAAAATATTATTATCAATTACATTTGTGTTTAAAATGCTTAATGAGAGGGTAGACAGGGGAGAGGTTAGTTTATTTTGTTGTTTTCCAGGAACAGTTGCCATAGTTGACGGCTTCTAATGCATAGTTTGCAAGAGGTTGTAATTATTCAACGTTGGCATTTCTACTGCATAATGGAGGCAAGTTTTAGTATACCCAAAAAGACTCTTATATTCACGAGTCTATTAGCAAGCTCACCAGCGTTTGAAATTTTTCAAAAATATGGTCGACACCCTTAGCATTTAATATAAATATTTTTGTGTTAAACTTTTAAACAGTTGTCCAAGAGACTCTTAAATTGTTGATGTTGTGGTTGAATCAATGATGGGTGAATTGAACTTGTGTTTGTAGTATTGAGACTCAAGCATTATTATCTACAACTTACCTGACGGTTTAAATTTTTTATTCAAACGACTCATATTCCATATATCATATCAGCGTTTTCACTGGAGCGGACTATTGTATTTAAAATGCTGATTTTTGATTCTTATGATAAATTGTTTTTCGAAGTAGAACTATCATTCAATACAAAAGACAGCGACAATCACGAGGTCTATGCTCACCCAAAAATCGCTATTTGTTCTGCCGCAAAAGTGACCCAGTTTCCTTAATCCAGATCCTCCCCCCCCCCCCCCTCCACCCCAATGTCCTACATTCAGTCTAGAACAGAACTCGCAAATACAAGTGCAGCGCTTGCGTCACATCACCAATAATCAATGACAATTAGTCACCCACCGTCCATCCCATTGGCTCCGCCGCACAAGGGCACGCAATTGAAGCATGGATTAATTAAACAAAAGTAGGCGCATTAGCGTCAGCTGGCTGATCTGGTAGTAGTGCTAGTAGTATCGTTGTCGAAAGACATAAAAAGAAAAGCAAGTGCCTAGAATCTTCCTCAACCCTGGCCATCAAAATTCCCGTGAAATTCTCATGACAATATGTATGTATAGAGCCTCGAAAAGCAATAACTTTACTTACTGTTCTCAAGGTTACAGTGGGCGTCAATCAAAATTTTAGGATGTTAGTTTGATGGCAGGCGGATGCGAAATTACTAGAAGTAGATGTAAAAAAAAACTTCTCTGCAAACAACCTTGGGCTTGGGACCCTGTTAAGGGTTGTGACGTATAAATTTGATTATTTGTAGTTAGAGACTTAGTCTTAATAGATATTTCTAGGCTTATGATATCCTTGTTGATGTTTTGGGAATAGAATTTTGTCAAGGCCATCAGAAAATGACTAATTTAGATTATAGATACTAACCTAAACGATCTAACATGTGCGTTCTCCTGTAAATTTAAAAACTTTGCAAATGAATGTGACCACTTTACCGGCCCTTCAAATGAGTGACTGATGAGAATCTGATACTGATAAAAAAAGTGGGTGGAAAATAACTTATCCTAATTCCCCCTGCTTTGTATTAATGTCTTTCCTTTAACGAAGAAGATTTATAATTAAATCTATGCCTCTAGACTTTAAACAGACAATAATTTGACGGCGGAATAAATTAATTATCTCAATGAATGCTTTAAAACGCCAAATCCCGGGTGGATACCACGACAAGGAAATTTTTTACAAAATAGAAGTTAGCACAGCTCTCCACCCCATAATTGCTAAATTTAATGAACACACAGCCATATTATATCACTCCAATTTGGCCCAATTTTGACATACCGAAGATAAAAAGGTCACAATGTTGCGTTTTACGGTTCATGCACTTTGGCCCTGCAATGAAGAGCCTCAAATCTATTAAAGTGCGCAATACAAAGACCATCTCGGCACCCTTCGTATATCATCTGTGACGAAATCCTGATCATAGTACACATCACACTAGAAAAAACGCCCACATTTTGCTATACAATTCAATTTTTACGAATCGACCTTTCATTGAACAACACATTAACACAAAATAGATTCCATGCATTTCTTCGTAAGAAATTTAACTGCCACATGTAATCATTTCATAATCTGTGATTGAGGTTGAGAATTTAAAAGATCACAAACTTTACGAGGTATCGGATCCATTAGTTGATACGCGATTGGCTGACTCACAGCGTCCACTCGCAATCGTGTGTCATAGCAACCGCCAATAGTTTGTGTCTGCAGTAGCAAATCGCACACTCATTGGCTCATGTCAGCTGACTGATGAGCGACGCGCGCGCCTCGAAGTGCACAACACGAGCGGCGCCTTCGGTGTGCGGAGCGTTTCTCTTCCTTGGCTTGGGTTCGCCGGAACGGGGTCGTTTCTCTATTTCTCCTCCCCTCCCTTTATGGGTGGGGTGGCCTTGGTGGACTATCGTAGAGGGTGGTTTTTGCTCTCTGTCCCTTCTCTTTGTCTGCGTATCCAAAGGTAGGCGCTCCTCGGTGAATCCCACATCGTTTTTCGGCATCTTGACAGTGATGATACTAGCAATTCCTCCATGTCCCTGAGACCCTAGAGTTGTCCGGATTTTGCGAATCCACATTTCTCACGTGGCAACTCTAATGTCCCGGGTTATGAGGTTGTGCTAAACGTCAATTAGTATTTTATTCTTTGCTTTTGTATGTTTATGCCTCCTGTACGCCCGTTCCTTACAGGTTGGGATTGTTTTCCTGGCCAAGTTTTCATTTCGGTATCAGTATTTTCAGTGTTATTAAGTTTCATGGGAGTAGCATCTTTCCAGAGCAATCACGTCCTCTATCGATCTGTGGACAAAAGTAAAGGCGATACGCGGTATGTTTCTACTCCAACATTTTCGTTACTGGTCCCATGGGTGTAATGGCTACTAGATTGTTTTGACTATCAAATAGAAGATGGCAATTCTAGCAATAAGATCTGTGTGCATTTTCTTTTCGCTTTTGCTTTAGGAAAATCTTGCTTCATGCTCACTGTAATGCCCACGGTTGGTGTTGCTTGGCGGTGTTTGGTTTCAGGGCTTACTTTTCTTCGAGATTTTAACCACGATAATATTTACTAAATTGTCCGGTCCCGACTGAATGATTGTTTTTATTGTAGCTCATTGATAGGATTTTGTTAATAGTCCTGTGATCCACCCCGATATGTCATCCTTTTGTGCTCTTAAGGGCGCTAGTACTTAAAAGGGAACTCTCATGTACTTCACTCTGTTTGCCTAGAGTTTTCTTGCCACTGCAGAAATCGGGGTCACTCTTGTCTTGCGGCGTCGATATGCTCACCTCCGATGCAATTCTGGAAGCATCTCTTGAAGGTTGTTCTCCTTTCCTTTTTATAGGGGAACCAAATTCGCCTTCGTTCCTCATGAGGTGATCATAGGTAAGTTCCATTTGATTGCCTAGTGGATGGACTTGCAACTACTCACTTCTGTCCCTCTTAGAAAGCCCAATCTGTTGCTGAAAGTACGTGGAAAGCCCTTCAGATTTAATTTTTTCTTTAGGCTGAAGGGGTGACTCAGTCGGTGGAATTCGTTCCTTAGATGGTCAAAAACGCAACGGCCAAAAGTCTTTTTGGCTTTGAAGGTCGTACGTGAATCCAACCAAAATCCACATCTTTTGGCAGAATTAAGTCAAAGAAACAAGGCAGATTTTATTTGCAGCATTACAGGACTCAAAATTTACCATCTTAGCTGTTTTACAGACCTTCGAGTCTTCGTGAAAGTCGCCTCTGGACCTAATACAAGATACTTCTAAAAGGGATAAACTAGTTTTCATTCTTTGGGCTTTGTTTAAGTGCAGATGGTTGTGATTTTCTGGACATGGTGCTTTTGTTGTTGTTCAGTCACCGTATGCCTCATATCAAGCCATCCTTTGTGAATTAATGGAAATCAAATGAAATGTGCCTTTACCGGCCCACAAAATACATTGTTTTTTTGAACTGAGATAGGATCAAAACACAACCAATCGGTGTGAGCGTTTGGTAATAGGTACTCCATGGTACATTAATATTCTATGCCTCTACTTTTGAACGCCGGTAAAGTGCTTTCGTCTGACGTCAGGTCTTATCGCAAGTGTCAACCCCACAGCTGCAAGCATGCGAGCCCACGTAAACTCATGAATCACCACCAGTGTTTGCGTGTTGCCTCTCTCGTTTTGCCTCCTCTGTTTGGTTGCGTCATCGAGCTGGTGTACCAAAATGTATCTACACCCTAGTCGGTTGGAGAGTTGAGCACAAATTGCTCAAAATAATGGCGCTGTTGTGCATGTACCAATTTTTCGTCGCTTCTTACTTTCTCTGATCGCATATGTGCTCGCACACGCCTTTGTCATTGGAGCGGATTTCCTAATAACCTTGTCTCCAAAGGGTTTAATTGAACAGCTTCTTCTGATTTTGGGTTGCTGCTTCGGCTGCTTTTGAGTGGATTTATGGGCTAGAATAAATAGGCCACGTTTTGATGGCTCAAAGGTGCAAGACGTTTAGTAGAATAAATTAGACGACTGACTTTTGGGTTCTTGCTACAAAATGGTTTACACTAAAGTAAATTCACCTTTTACGGTTCGGCTTAGCAACAAGATTGTAAGCTTAACGTGCTGGAAGTTATTTAAAAAGTGGAACTCTTGTCTCCAAGTTAAAATTGCAACATAAGTTAAACTGTCAGGTATGTGGATTCTAGAAATGATGTATTTACAAAAAGACGATTTTATCTGGAAATTGCAGTTTCCATCGAAGATGAGACAATATTGTTAGATGTAAGTTTAGGTCATTTTAAAAATTTCGCTGAATTAGTTCCCGCCTCTTTGGCGTCACCGAAACAGCTAAAAAACTACGGCCAGGACTTGAGGAAGGGAAGCCAGCCCAGCAGCTATCGCTTTATTGATTTTGCCGCTAACCTGTGCTTGTCATTTCAAGGCACCGTTGCCGGTATAAACCCTCTAAGGAGATTCAAGAGGTAAAATCGGAGAGTCGATTTCAATGTCTGCACATTATTTACTAATTTTAAATGCGTGAGACGCTATTTAGTAAAAAAACGAAAAAAACTTAAAGGAAATCTCGGTTTTGTATATGTTGTGATTTTATTAAACTACTTTCATATCGTTTTACTGTACTTGACTGAAGTCATCCAAGCTCGGTAAGTTGAGTGCAAGCTGATCGATAAGTCAGTTGATTCAAAGTCTGTTTGCCATGGTTATTCTGCGAAATGTGATCACCAAATTATCGATTTATTGAAGCAGAGCCAATCTTAGTCGTCAGACGTTCAATCACCAAAATTTGCATCAGAATAAACAAAAGGATTTTTGCTCAAAATGTTAGTATTCAGGCGAATTATCTACAGATTTTTAGCAATTTTTTCCTTCAATGCGAAACGTTCTTAGGCGAAGCTTTTAGCCAGAATCTTTTACTCGCAGCCTCTTATTCTAAACTAATGAATTAAGCATTTTGCATCTTGGGAATGCTGATGAGCTCAGTATTTTCAGATACAATTACTTCTCACCTCCACTTGTGCCATGCTCATTTATGCGTTGGCATTAGAATCTGTTTATTCTTTAAAGCTACTGCTTTTACAAAATTGACATTTCGACTACTTCGTCATGGAAATTTACACATACAAACCGATGTGATGTTAACTAGGTGTAATCGACTTAATTTTTTTGCTGACAAATACTTGTCATACAAGCACGAGAGCAGCTTAGTTTAGGAGCATATGGAGATGCTTACCTAAATGCGGCTTAAATGGGTGTTACGAGATTGAGGGCCTCTAGTAATTTCGACGATACGAATATCAAAGGTTTTTCATTGTGTGACTGCATGACCGTATGTTAGTATTCTGTTCCAATCGGTCAAATATGCCAGCCGATCCGAATTCAGGTGGCTGATATTTTAAGATCTTGTGTTTATTTTACATTTACAATGCTTATTTGTACTCTTTCCGATCGATTGATGAGTTTCGCCCAAGCTGCGTGGCCGACAGTTTTAGATATAACCTCTAAGGTACGAAGTTAGTGTGGTTTTAAACCAATTTCAAGGATTGTGTCAGTCATGACATCCCATACTGCATTTACTCACCCGATATCATTGAGAGTTACAATCTTGTGCTTTACAATTTACTTGAATTGTTGCGATAAATAGCGTTTTTAATTCGCGAGTTTGTATAAAATAACTAATCCAAATTATGTTAAGGTTAGACCAGGAAAACTAGTAGGCTTTTTATGCAAAAACTTACCGCAATTCTAATCATAGCAGGTGGTTTGACAGAGACCATGGTTGTTACTGTCACAAGGGAAATGCTTGCGTACACGCTTGGCACTCAACTCAACACACGAAAATCGTATCCATGCAACAGAAGAGATTAGGGGCTGGTCATTAGCAAAGCCAATGCATGCAGGAAAAAGTAATTTTCAAAACTACATTGCTTACGCAGACAAAAGCATTCGTGACGCACACTGTTACGGCAAATCCGATGCCGCTTGTCTTTCTTCACTGTTTGCCATCACAACAGAACGTGTGTACCCACATCAACAAACTGCGCGATATCCCGTAAAAATATTCATTGTGAGAAGAAAGTTCAAGCAATGCTGCAGTGAAGAAGCTAATGTCAAACCCTTTCAGGAAGCTTACTGATTTCAATGACCTGTTTGACTTTATGCTTCTATGCGCGTGCGTAGTCTGTGTTTAAATCTACAGCCTTTTTAATTTGAAAGGCGTGAAAAAAAGAATGAATGACGGAAATGAACACACGCAACAGCACACAGGAGCGGAGAGGAGCAGAGGCATATTTATAAACAAGTAGGGCTCCTACCCACTTCGACACGATTTGCATCGCTGCCATGTAATTCTGTATGGTTCCATAGCTTCTACCTGCCAAATGTCATCGATTCCAGCTCTTGCATAAATGTGACTATGTAGTGTAATTTGTTGTCTTTTTAGTGGCCGTTTTTTATTCTAGACCGCTTACTTGCACTTCTGGGTCTATATCTTATCACAAAATTGACGTTGCAATCTTCATTGAGTGGGATTTCACTTCATTTTTATGTGCTTCAATCAAAGGTGGGAAGTAAAGGTGAGCCTGACTTCCTACAGTTTGGGGTGGTTTAGTCAAACGCTTGCGGGAGAATCGATTACCACCCGATCGATTGATGCACAAAGAAACTTGCAGGCGATGCGCACCTAGGAATTATTGATCCCCACCTGTGAAAGCACTGGACTATTTTGAGTCACTGCCCTTGGAAAGCCGGTGTAGGAGGGGGGGGGGAAGTGGGGGAGGTGAGGCAAACAAACTAAGTTTTCTTTCGAATCCCAACCAGTGGTAGGTGGCTGTTTCATCCTCACCATACATGAGGGAGGCTGTTAAGAGCATGCTCGTGCATTGTCGGGTAAGGCATTTTATTGTCTACCCAGCAAACAATTGCTTTACAGTGGAATAAAATGTAGGTCGCCATGTTTGTGGTTTGACCATGTTTTCGAAGCCGTTATAATTGGGCAATTAAAAGTGCGGTTGAAATAAAATTGTCTTTTAAAGGTTTGATACTTCACCGAGGTCTCTGTGATAACAACAGACAAAATTATTGTAACTGTGGCATAATTTACTTTGACTTACCTCAGCGTTTGACAGAGTCTCAGCATTAGATGTGTCCGATTCTTTTTTCGCAAAACTACTGACAGTTTGTACAAATATATAAAAACGGGCTTTTTATCTAAGTTCTAAACTATCCACCCACTTTTTTTGTGTTACAAAGTTTTTTATATGAGGACATTTTTCACATTTCGTACTTTCCGTTTGTTAGAGGATTCTGCTGATTTTATATCACATTGATTACAAGTTAGTACTTGTTTACTGAAAATCATAGAATAACGCGAAAAATATGTACCGGTCCACAGCAGACATGGGATTGCTTAAGCTCAAACGGGATAATATTTTAGTTAAATTCCTAAACGCGATAACAATTATTTTACCTTTGTCTACGACTGCAGAGCCACTTAATTTATCCATAATAAAGGGCGCCTCTACTTAAGCAATTACTGAGGAGGCATATCATGTCTCCTGACACGTTGGGCCTAGAGTTGTTCCATTTCAGGTACCCATGAGTGAAGTAAGTTCACTAGGACCACAGCATAAACCGAGGCATGGGTCCGAATTCAAGAGTTGGTACTACTAGGGCTAGAGGGTTTCAGACGTGACGTGGGCGCAACACAGCCATTCTGTGTGTGTGCGTGTGCCTGGAATTGTGTTGAGTCATATCTCATGGCGTGCGCAGCAGTTCGTTTTTATGTTTGCGTCAAAAAATGCCCCAGCATGCACGCACATGCACACACGCATGCTCGGTCGTTCCTTCGTTCCTTCCTTCGTTCGTTCGTTTGTTCGGAGATGTCCCAAGTGGATGGAGAGAGAGAGAGACGCGTGGATCGTTTGACCTTGAGATAAGATGGCGGGGTAAACATTTTCTTTCTTTTCGTACTCCAAAGTGGGTTTGGTGTCAGGCTGCACTTCCTCCTCCATGTACTTGGGAGATTACGTTTATAACTTTTTTTGTCACAACGTGCATAGTTTTTTTTTATATTACTGATTTTCAACAAAAAGTGCATTTTAAGTAGTCACTAAAACACAGGAATTTGGAATTTGTGCACTGTTTTAGGCTTGCTAAAATTACTCGACGTCCGCGATGGATGGGGATGTGGGAGGCTGGCAGTACTGAAATGACCACATTTTCGTTTGACAGGCCATTCAGTTTTTTTGCTTGTCTTTGAACAAATTAATGTTTCTAGAATAAACATTTAGCTAGCAATCTGCAGCTTCATGGAGAATGTTGAAAAGGTATGATTTTCCATGCTGGGTGATAGTGTAGTTGCCTCGCAAAAGGGTCACTTTTCCAAAAAGTGATTGTAAATGTGATTTGATTAATGAAACACGCTGGATTTGAAAAAAAATCAACCATAAATCACAAAGGAGAATGTGAATTCTTTAAGGCACATCAGAAAACTGTTACACTTCGGGTAGTTTGGTTTCATCAGTTGCTAGTGATTCGATTTTTCAACGAATTTTTTCATAATCCACCGTTGGAATAATTTTGTTCACAAGGAGGCACCCAACTAATAGTTAATATGTGTTGGTCACATTTTTTGGTACCGTAGTTACTACTGTTGAAATTAGGCGTTGATATTGAAGTTGTCGTGATAAGTTTCAGTCATGATAAAAATTGCCATAGACCCACTTTCATGAGATTCACTCGTTATTCATCTAAACAACGTCATAAGGTAAACACTGCTTTCAGAATAATCATCCCATGATTGGATTATCACGCGCCATCGTGAGTCAGTCAACTGAAGTTCTACCGATCAATTTAGTTTGAGAAATATGCCTCTCAACGACATCTCTCAAAGATAATGACTTGCACCACATAGTCCGTTTTAAATTGTATAACTTTGACAAAAGTCCTGTGGTAATTTAAGCACTAGGAAATTTGTCAACAATCTACGATCTACTGGTTTCTAGAATATCCAGTAGGACCCAGATGTACTGCTTTACCATTTCAAATTTATTCACATATCATTCATAGGATTATAAGATTTGTGCTGCTATTAAATTTGGTGGAAATCTAAACAAGTATTGGTTGTTTGTTTAATTTGAATCATAAATGTATTAATCTTGTTTGGACATTCAGAACAACTTTTTAAGGCGACATGACTGCCCAGGCGACGGTAAATGGCGAAAAATTACGGTATGCACGACGAACTAACCTAGGGTTTAGGTGTGGTAGTTCGCAGTGATTTCACACAGTGTCCAGTTCAACGTGACGTGGTTTACTTCAAAATGGGCATTCATCTAGACAATTTACATCATAGGACTGCGGTATTTATGACGTTTCACTGGTGTATCACACCACACAGTGAAACCAAATGAGAGACAAATGCGTGCCTGCGCAGCTTAATTGGAAAAAAGGTACTGTTTACTCCTCCTTCCATCACGGCGCTGGCACGCCAACACTGGCCAACGTTGACCACCCGAAGAATCTATCCATTCTATCAATGGAATAATAAAATAGCTAATTCGAAAAGTACAAAAAACACACTTTTTACTCAAATGTGTAAACTAAATCTCTGCAAGTTGCTAAGGTTTTTTGCGATATAATTTAAAGTATTGTGTGCTGTTATCCCCAAAAACCAGGAATTACACGTCTACAAAATGACATAATTATGCTTTGGTCGTCGGCGATCTTTTTTCTAAAAGACGACTTTCTGGCAGGACGAAATCCTGGGTAGTATGTTGGTGATAAGTGAAGGCGTGAATTATTACTAGATGTAATACGCTGTTTTTACCTTTTTTTTCGGTTTTGGCAAAGAGGCTACTTAGGGGCTTCATTATTGTACCTCCACCAGGCGGCTTAGCCTCTGGGCTATGCCAGCAGCCCCAAAGCCCTCCTGTACGTCGGCAAAAAACATTTTTCCCAAGTTTTATTTCTTCTTTCGCCTTTAAGGAGATCTCATGGCGCTAAATAAACAATAGTTTTGCCATCGAGGGATGTGTTTTACCAAATAGGATTCTGAATCCTTCTCGGCTGATGGTGAGTTCAGTATTCGTCAACTAAATTTTGGCACTCAGGTGTTACGGTAAATTTGTAATTTAGATTTATTTTAACCAAATAATAGGTTGACTTAGGAAGCAATCTCATCATCATATATTCAATAAATCCTCGTCGAAAATCATGTTTGCTACATCTAACGAATGTCACTTGTGTCTAGTGGCGGTATTTTGACAATCACACAGTTATTTTGAAGAGAAACTTACCTTTATAATGTCTAGTAGCCATTTATGCTTAAATATTTAGGCTTTGAAGGTTGATCAAGGCTATATATTGTTGCAATAAAAGAAGTTCTCATATGCTCCTGGTCATAAATCTCAAATCAATCGAGTCCCTTTACTCCTATGGAAAGTTATTCGAAGTTATTTTTCAAAAAAAATTTTGGAAGGTGTTTTCATTTCTGAAACATATGGTTTAATTCATAAGAGTCCCTCTGGATACTCAGTATTCCTTACATAATGATAAGAAGAGAAATTTGACACTGAATTTAACACTCATGGGCATAACTCGATTCTGACCCGCCCACGCTTTGCTAAAACCCATCTTTCTCAACTTGAGCTCATTCAGACGCGTAAGTGAAGCAAGGAATAAATTACTACCACCGCCACCTTATTGTTCATTTTTTGCGTGTGTGTGTGTGTGTGTCAATCGTTCAAAAAGCCGCATCACGCCAGCGCAGTCAACATCAAAGGATTCCACACGCACACCCGCGGCCTCTGAGACATTACGTAGGCATAGCGTCTAACATCTATTTTTCCACTGCTCCTTCCCTTTCGCGACTCTAAAATCGGCCATTTTAGGTGGCGGTTTCTCGCCAAAAAGCCTCAGAGTTCTGTTGCGTCGCAACAAACTGGCCTCAAATCGGCTGTATTCATTTATTTCGGGCGTTGAAGATAGCCAAGGTCTTTAATGAGAGGTGTGGTTGCCTTTTGAAAGCGACAGAAAATGCATCTAAACCAATCAATTCCAGTGAATGCTGAGTAAATTTTACTACTGAAGATTGGAGACGGCAACTAACAAACAAAATCCTGCATTTTACTCTGCTGATTTGTTCCCATTTCTTAATAAAAATAATAGACATTATTGCCCGAAATCGACGAACCTGTGGATGACTTCAGCCAACAACTATGTTAATCAAGAAAAGCAAATTTCGCATTTTCTGTAAATTGGAGTTGATTGGAATACCTAGATTCAATGTAGATTTACTCGCTTAAGTCAACTAGAAAAAAAAATCTTTGCATATGTACTGCAATATGGCGGATCCTATTGCCTACTTCTGTCAGTAGAAATATTACGCTTAAGCAGGAATTTAAGACGAACGCGTTTTAATCAACCTGAAATCTATAGGAAGGGAGTTATGCTACAAATCGTGCTTTCGTTAAATCCTCCATCACTTTCTTCCGCCACAAGCTTCGGAAACACCCGTTCACTGTTAGTAAACATGTGATTTTCTTCTAAAGACTTAGCGAAAATCGGAATTAGCTTAAGCATCACCAACAAATTTAAAACCATTTCAATTATTTGAAATTGCTGTTTTTACGACCACATGTAGCGCCACGAGACCACCCTGAAGACACAATACTGTGGCAGAATGTGTATTGCCGACGAACAAAAGGACTTGGAGACTACTGGCACGGCCATGAAGGCGGGTCCTTAAATGCCCGCAAAACCAAAACGATGAGTTAAACAAGTAATCAAAGCATTGTGCATGATCGCCTCTCCATATCTGATTTCGTAAAATCTGTGTATAACTCTGCTCTTAGCTTAAAATGACCTTTAAATAAATTAAATGTGCAAATGACAGTATTTAAATGATTTTTTCGCCACCTATACTATTTGTTAGGTGATGATCCAAATTTCGTGAAGTCCTATGCACAATATGAGCGTACGAAGTTGACATAAAATTTTTAAAAGAAGCATTTTGTTGAATAACAAGTGCAAGGTGAAAATGCTTTTAAGCCAAGGTGTGGCATGTTTTCCGGAATGTCTCACTTTTGTAAAGTCAAAGTGATTTCAAAAAGAGTGAACAAAACCGCAAACGCATTTTATTCTTACATTTTGAAAGGTAAAAATGACCATTACGAGCATTTAGTTATGTCTTGACTTTGCCTTGATCAGTAAAAATTTTTAAAAAAATAAAGCAAATGGGTGTATTTATGCTCCCTTGATTGTACTCTCTTTCCCCGTTAAAAAGGCTATTTATCTATACATTCACTCATTGAAATGGACACATCCATTTCATCAAAAAGATTCTTCTATCTCTTGAGGCAAGAGCTTATGAAAAAAGTAACATGCACAAAACCACCTTTTTATTAAAATTGAAAAGTTTTTACCTAATTGTATGATAGTTTTACGTGGCCAGACCCTGTATTCACGTACGAGTTCCGTATTGGCTAGAGCAAACGTCCCAAACACAAACCAATTACTACTTCCACCTCTGAATACTTTTATGCAATGTAAATTTTTACAGCAGATTTAATTTTCAGGGGTAGAAATATCTTACCTGAGCAGAATTTTGCGATGAAATTGTTTTAACAGCTTCAAAATTCAATATGTGTCTGGGAGTCGGCCACTGTGATGCATTCTTCAACGCCCTCAACCAGTTTTGGATTATAACAATTTGGTTAAATTAAAATTCCAGTCAATTTGCACTGCCAAAATTTGAATTATTAAGGAGGAACCATTACTAGTTAATGTATACACAATACTTGGATAAGGAATTACGGAAGACCGTGGGCAGCATTAAGAACTTCAGAGACTCCAGTAGCATTCAATAATTGCAAAAATGAGTGGTAGGCCAAAATTTATACCTTTTGTTTCGTCTAACTATAGTTCGGTCGTGGTGACTTACAGTTAACCTATAAAATCACGCAAATCACCGACGAATGTTACTAAGAATAGGATTTCTTAATGTTAACGGGAGATCAAAGCGGATTGAGTCGTAATCCTATGAAACCCTTGATATCCAGCCAGCTTTAATTGGTTAGCTGAAAGGGGACAGAATATTTTCTAGGCCATGCTTGTATGCAGTAACAAATCTATTTTTCCCAACTATAGGAAGGTTGGGCTGTTAAAATGCGCTTGTTTTCCGGCTATCGGAAAACTATTTTGTCTGTCGACAGCAGACTTCGTGAGTGGTGAATTTTCCCAGGTACTGCCAGAGTTACGTATCACACTTTTTTGTCTCCCTAATAAACAAGTTTTTTGAAACCCTTGTTTTTTGAAATGCATATTTAACGAGGATGCGGAATCCAAGATACTGAGATGAATGCTGCGTCTGACTTATTTTGGGCGGCCAAGAGAGGAGAGAAAAGAGAAAGCAAAAAGATCGCCTTTCTCCGCTTCACTTAATACCTCGCCTATCGTTGTAATCGAAAAAGTAAAAAAGAAAGAACTTAACTGAAGGTTGTCGGAGTCATTGGTTGGGGTAGGCCAACATTCGAGGTAACTCTGCGTATTCCAGCCAATAGGCATGTGGCCTTGACATGGCAGTGCGAATGCATGAATGACAACGCTTGGGAAGTGCTTAAAGGTACACAGGCAGGCGGACAAACAGGCTCAGAAAACATCGAGAAAAGGAAAGTTCCGTTTACTGTCCGGCATAATTTAGGGCGAATGTCAAGTTATGTAAATACCTATAAGTCTCTGTATATTTCAACGGAACTTAGAAGTCCTTTTAAATATCAGGATTTGCAAAAATATTTACATCTCTGGGAAAAAATTAATTTGCTTTGCGTTGAGAATCTATTGAAGCTAAGAGTGTGATAAAAAAATGTTCGCAAACCATTACTTCAATACACCTAAAAACATTCTTTGGGTTCAAAGCTGATCTGATTTAACACACATTTCCACACAAATGGGTTTCAGAAAGCAGTTCCATTTTGTGAATAACAAAAGGCTTGATAAATCTAGATTATGTATACTCCAAATAGTTATTAATGCCAATTGGCCTTCATCTGTCCAATATTATGATATTGCCTGAATAAACTCTGTGAAGTTTGAAGACAGCCGGACAATTCGGCTATTAAATTCGTGACGTCAAACGTCGGTGCTTAGGGGTAAGCTTAAAACGATTATGCATCTGCACAGGAAGCGACCCACTGCAGAACATAAATGTTTCTTTGTCTGAATTCGGCCATTTTCTCACGTAGAGATACGTGATTTATCTTGTGTGAGTCACGAAACATTGAGGCAAATTTATGTCATCCACCATCGAAGGTCGTGTGCGCATCCACTTTGCAGGAATGCCTGACTACGCTACCAAGGTCGCTCCATAGATTGTGCAGTTGCTTAGATTTCCATGTTTGACGTTTTTGACATTTCGAAATCAAATACGTCCAAAATCATAGGCAATGTAAGGCATAGAAAAATGAGTTTAAAGAGTTTGCTCAATAAAAGGCTTGCCTTTTAAAGAAAAAATCAGCGTCTTTAACTGATAACTAGGCATTAGTTGATAATCCTCAGCATTTCCAACGCTGCATCCACTAACTAACTACATAGGCTAGAAAATTGATTCTCCCTAGAAAAAAGATTGGAGTATGTCTCGATTACCTTGCAATAATGCCAAGGGAGCTGTCTCCCTTGCATTATCCGTTTCTCATGACTCTAATATTTATTTTTTAAAATCCCAAACCACTTACAACTACCTATGGCTAGATTTTGAATGGCAGTATCGTTCCCAATTATGAAAAGATTTACAACTGGCTGTAACGTTTTTCTGGATTTATGTCTGGCATTTCCGGTGTAGCGCAGTTCAGGCAAATCCTGAATGATTCTAGCTTCTAACCTAATGTAATTTTCACTCTGGCTGTTTTAATAAATATGGTATCCATTGGGAATAAACTTGGCCAACTCGCACACAGAAACCTTATTTGTCCGATTTTGACCTTGAACTCATCAAAGACGAATGACCCCATTCTGCTTGAGGATCAAGGTCTAATCAGTTAGTCCGTGAGTGGAAAAAAACTACCAAAGCTCTCTTAATACCTTCTAGTTAAGATGAGGAAATTTATTACATGCACCTTATGGAGGGCATATCAATTGCCCAATGGAATTTAGAAATCGGCGTAATATTCTTGTACTTGTGCTTAATACACTCGTTCATCTTTTCGTGACCGAGATATCACTAAAAGTGACATTAAAAAGGTAACTTTCACGGTTCAACCATACATGAACATCATAAGATTGAAGTGTAGTACCATGGTTACCGCTAAAAGAATGGCAATTTGTTTTTCCACACGAAATGACGACGAAGCCCGCGCGTGTAGGCAACTTAATTCCAAAGGAGACATCATCGGTCATGTCTAGACACCCAAGTGCCTGTCTTTGTTATGTCTGTCTGTCCGGTTAGCAGCCGAGCTACTAATTGTTGCGACGCTACAAATTTACCTCGGTTGACTTCATGCTCTCCCTCTCGCGCACGTGCGCACCTACTTGCCTACAAAAATGTCGAGGAAACG